ATAACGCCCATGGGCGTATTCGAAATAACGCGCACGTAGTCAAAATAGCGCGCAGATGCCCGCTATTTCGAGAATTTGCGGTAGTTTAAAAAAATGCTCTTTTGGTCCAAATAAACATTGTAGTTTATCGTATAAAGTATTAGGTATTAATTGTTAAGTTTATATTAAAAGTAAAAATTAAATATTTATGCACTGTATTTAAAGCATTAAATTTACATAATTCCGATAATAGTTTTTTGCGATAAAACCGTTGTTGACATTTTATAATACTAACTAGAGACTTTAACCAGTTGCCAACACCAAGATCATGGTTTAATCATGCTTTATCCTGTTACATCTGATTTTCAAAGTTTAAATTTATACAATCTAATTGTAACCATATCAAATTTAATATCAGCTTCAAATCTAGATCTTTGCTACGGGTGTTTGATTTGCTACTATATTCCCGTTATATGCGTCCTTAAGGGCTTGTTTCAGAGTTTGAATTGCATAAGTTGATGCACCATAACTTGATTGCCATCCTGATACATAAATAATTAATCTATAAAATTTGTGATAATAACAAATATAAAATTTATTACCGTACCATATCCTCCATGACCATAATTATGGCATATTAAAACTTTTTTTCCTGTTTTTTCGGATACTAACGATCAAAAAGAATATATATAGAAAATCATTTATAATCTATGAAGTAAATTAACATCAAGAAAATTAAATTGCTCACATGTCCATTCTGATTCGATTCTGATTCCATTTTTTCGAACAGGACGTAATCCAACACTATGCCTTTTGATATTAAGTTTGGTTTCACCTTTGGGTAATAGATCTGGACGTGTAGAAAGGCATCGTGAGACAATTGCATCTGCAATCTTCGCATCAGGTGTAGTAGAACTAAAATAGAAAGATAGTTATAAAGCCAATTCGAAGCAAACATTATAAATTAAAGAATAATTGCATTGATACTTACTAGTCGTGCTGACCCTATATTGAATCAATAATAGTTAAATCAGTACTAGCTCATATAATAAACTTCACACAAAAATCTGTCTAAAATATACATATGTTCCACCAAGTATCACTTCTCCATTATCCCGCGGTATTACATAGGTGATAATTTCATTTTCTCCTTTTACCAATTTAAAATGAGTAAATTTAAAAATTTCAATAAAAATATCTAGCCTTTAAATTTTGCAACTATACACACTATGTGTGCCACCATCAGTCCTTCCGGCTGCATATCGTCCAAATGTCCAATTTATGTGGCCAACGGGCAATTGAACCAATACTGTTTGTCCGCTCGCTGGATAAATATCTTTATCTTGAACACCTCCTAAAGTTCTCGAACCGAGTCCCGAACAATTTACTACGACATCAGTATTATGAAAGATCGCCTCTTTGATATGAGACAAAGAGGTGCGTTTAGTAATTCCCCCAAGAGAGTAAAAGCGTTTTAGGAGATAAGAAAGATATTTAGGTGGATTAATTGTGACTTTAAATTCAAAAGAGGTTGAATGTTAATTATTTTTAATTAAGATCTAGATAAATTCTTTCATAATGGAATTTGTCATTTGTGCATACTTGTCTTATATGTAATTCCAAATTCAACGCCAACTGGTAATTCTTCCTTTGTTAAATGCCGGTACTAATGATTGAAATAAAAATGTCATCTCATGAAAACTCTAATTTACGATCTCATAATTAACATTTTATATTTATGGTCGCAGCTGAAGCTGAAATGGCTGAAGCTGGAAACTAGGGACCTCTATTTAAAAATATAAACCCTACAAAAATCCACTCATACTCTTTTATATCAAAACTAACCCTAAACCCTAACCTAACTATTAAAAAAAAGCTAAGAAAATGCACTCAAAAATTTTTGAAATTTCATATTAAAATAAAATAATTTCCAGCTTCAGCCGTTTTCAGCTTAAGCCGCGACATTTATTATTACTTCTGGACATAAATCTTTGAACCATGGTTCTTCCCACCCTAATGGAGGTTGTTTATCCCAATAGTCTAAACCGTCTACAGCCATTATTCCAGTTTCATATGATTTGGTATGGGCTATATCCCAAAAGTGGTTAAAGGTCTTTCTATCAAATTCTTTAAAAGAATAATTGAATTAGCAAATTTGACTAGGAGCATACTTTAACCGGGTTTTGATGTTAGATACCTTGTTGCCGAGTGTCTCCAGATTTTGCATCACTTCTCCAGTGAGCGCCAGCCCTATCATATTATTTTTTAATATTATAAAACAGCAGTACACTTAAATAAGGATAAAGTTTTATGTACAAACAATGGGCTAGCATATTCGCCTTTTAATTCTCCCGGAAAGTTTTTTGATACAATTGTAACCTCATATTCTCCTTGCAACAGGACTGCAGTTGTTAGTCCCGAAACTCCAGCTCCGATAACAGTTGCTTGTTTATTTAACATTGAATTGACCAATTTGAATTTAAAAGTTTTCAAATACAATAGAGAATACCTGATTTCTTTTGGACCTATAAAATGGTAGTTTAGATATAGATATATATATTTGTTGGTAAATGATGTAACGGAAACGGCGGACCATCATCGCTACACAAAATTCTGCGTTTAGAAAATTTAGAGATATGATCAATTTTATATTGGTCTAAAAAGTATCTACGAAATAAAATCACTTTTGAAGCTAAAATTATCCAATAATATATAGTGAAATTAAATAATGTATTAACGGGTTGGGTGTTAATTCATAATTTGCCTTTTCAAAATTAGTGAATCAACCGTACAACCCGGATACAAAGATTACCCGTTGTACCCGGGTTGACACCGGAATAAGTGTACAAGTAACTCAAACCTTCGACATAATAATGACTAATTAAACTCGAAACCAGTCTATAATAAATGCACTCGGTATAAAAAAGTTTTTAATGAACTCAGTAACATATTTTCGCGTAATAACTCCCACTTGTGCATTATTTTGTTAAAGGCTGATCGTCCAATATAAGAAGATATTTACGTAATTAGCTAATTTACATTATGCGCGTTATTTTGGGATGCGCATGGGCGTAATTCCGAGGAAATGTACTGTACGTATGTTATTTTCGAGTGATATGGGTGTTATTACGTGAAAATACGGTATAAGAAGGTTTGTAAGACCTAATCACCTTTCTTATATTCGAACAGTATAAATAAATATTTATGAACTTTTAAACACTTATATCAAAATTTTCTTTACACTCGCACACTAAATTAAAACAAACAAAATAAAATTAAAATATAACTATTCACGAGCTTGAGTAGCTTATTCTAAACACTCTAATTAATAATTTTTTTTTATGTTCACTTAGATTAATTAAATCTATATAATAAATATTCATGAACTTTTAAACACATAGATCAATAAAATTTTCTTTATGCTCACGCATTAATTAAAGAACAAAATGAGTTAAATATAAATATTAATGAGCTTGAGTAATTTATTCTAAACACTGATTAATAAATTTTTTTCATGCTTACCTAAATTAATGCGAACAAACTAAAACTATATAATAAACATTCATGAATTTAATCTTATTTTAAACACTAAGATCAATAAATTTTCTTTATATTTATACACTAAATTAAGTGAACAAAATGAAATTAAATAATAAACATTGGTGAATTCCTGTAGCTTATTTTAAACACTTAGATTAATAATTTTTTTAACACGCCTAATTTAATGAACGAATACAACTAAATGGTAAATAATCATAATCTGAACGGCTTATTTTAAGCACTTAAATTCTTTATAGTCACAAATTAATGGTCAACCACGGGCCAACCTATAGGTCAACCCGCTACCAGGGTCGGAAACCTGTAAAAATACGGTTGATTATACAAATTTCCTAGGTAACGTTCACGCGATATTCTATACTAAATTTGATTGGCTAATAATGCCGGATGGTGGGCAGAACATAAAAGACGAACAAGATCAGAACAAAATTTTCGATGTTTTGCGAAAAAATCGCAAATTAATACAAAGTTAATTTATTATCTTTCAAATTAATTTTTGTACGACAAGCATTGTTTTTACTAGAAGGGTTTTTATTTAATATTACAGTGATTTCCATTATTTTTTGTATTTTAGTCAATTTCTTATTAGATGTTTCATGATATTTCGAAGAGGTCTCATTAGTTAAGTTTTGTGAGGTACCGTTTCATAAAATCTTCAATAGGATAACCACAGTTATGTTTATCCAACCGAATATTCAACCCTTCGATAACTCCAATTTCAACTAAATTAAAGGTTTTAAGAGCCCAATAAAGCTTGGTTTTTGTGTTTAGATGAATTTTTAAAACAGCTAAACAGCGATCGTTTTTTATATAATCAATTATACTTTCATTTTATTCGGCCATTCGACCATTTACATATCTGTCAACAATTTTTTCAAAGGTTTGAAACGAAAAAATATATAATTTTCGTACGTCCATCTGAATCTATACTGCCGTACAGTACTACTTTATTGAATACCTTTGATTCAGGGCGTCGAAACTACAATTCCTATTTTGATCATCAATAAAACGCGTAGCTCATTTTTTTTTGTATTATTAAACCTATTAAAACAGACTTCAATAGCATAGTTCTTATCATTTTGCTTTTATAAACTTTTATTTTTTGTACTTATTCCAAAACACACTTTCAAAAAGACCCAAGGTGTTATCATAGGTTAGTAATTTTCAGGAATCTAACGAGCCATAGTATGGTGTGCAAGTGGAAGGCACAAAGACGACAGATACGATAAACAGCAAGGACAACAAAGATGACAAAGACAACAAACACACAAGAACAACGAAGACGACAAGGACAACAAAGTGATGATTAGAAGAGGGGTGGGGAATGGATTGCGCACACCTTGCTATGAGAGGTTAATTATAATATGAGAGGTGGATTCTAAGGTCTGCTAGTTCCGTTCCGGTAAAGAGGAATTAGCTATGCACCTTTCTTAGAAAATGATATGCTCTTGTAAATTAATTTCCATACTCACGGGCTGTAACTATCATAATACAGATACGATCTGAAGCTAACGATCCTCGGTACAGAAGCGAACAAAGTTAATTATAGGTTAGTAATTTTCACTTTACTAACGAGAATAGCATGTGTGTGCACATGACGCAAGATGACAACAGGTAAGAACCAAAATATAGCAAGCACGGCAAGGACAGCACAGTAAGATACAACGACAACAAAGGATTAGAAGAGGAACAGGGAACAGATATGTGCACACCTTGCTGATTTTAAAATAAGAGGTAGATTCTAAGATCTGCTAGTTCTGTTCTGGTAAAGAGGAATTAGCTATGCACCTTTCTTAGAAAATGATATGCTCTTGTAAATTAATTTCCATACTCACAGGCTGTAACTTTCATAATACAGATACGATCTAAAGCTAACAATCCTCGATACAGAAGTGAGCAAAGCTTTAACGTCGCTACTTATAGGTTAGTAACTTTCACATGACGCGAGACGACAACAGGTAAGAATCAAAAGATAGCAAACACGACAAGGACAGTAAATATGGTAAGATATGATGACAATAAAGGATTAGGAAAGGGACAGGGAATGGATATGTGCACACCTTGCTGATTTTAATATAAGAGGTGGATTCTAAGATCTGTTAGTTCCATTCCGGTAAAGAGGAATTAGCTATGCACTTTTCTTAGAAAATGATATGCTCTTGTAAATTAATTTCCATACTCACGGGTGTAACTATCATAATACATGTGAAGATATTCCATATAATGATGTTCCTAGTCTTTCATGTGAAGACATTCCTGATCCTTCGAATGATAATTTTCTGAAGTTAACGATCCTCGGTACAGAAGCGAAAAATGTCCCTTCAGAATTTCCCACCCGACGATTTTTGATAATGGTTGAATGTCTGGTAGGTATCCTTTTAAAATCCTTTTCGATTTCACTTTCACAATCTTCACTTGTTATGATTTTATTGTAATTCGTACAATACTTATGACAAAATTTTTTAATTGGCGCAAATTACTTCGGCTGATTAATGTGCACAAGCGCACTTTCAAGAAGTACACATTACAGAACAACATTTTATTCTAGTGCTTGGATCTGGATATCACCCGGATTTAATCAAGAACATTTGATCATCGATTTTTTTACAGGGGTAGATGCTAGTCGAAATAAATTTTATTATCGTTATTGGTGTTGAAGTGGCGCAATTATTAATTCCATCAAACATCTCTAGTTCTAAAACCAAAACACAAAACGCTATATAATTTAAACATTGTATAATATTTAGCTATATCGGTATTAAAAATCACACTTCTAATAATAATTATTCAGTAACAAAATCGACTACGAAAATACAGCAGCTTCAGCTGATCTTAATATTTTTTTTTTAAAAAAAAAAAAAAAAATTCACCACCATTACCCTTAAATATTATCAATCGAAAATACTAAATAATCGCGTTTATTATATTTGCGAATAACAAATCTATGCTAATCATATAATAGATTTAATACACAACAAATTTACATTTCGTGTCAGAAAATGCTCAGGTATCGTATTTTGTATCGGGAAACTTATAAATTTTAATAACGCTTTTAAGAATATTAATTCATGTCCCTTTATAATACAAACGTGTATAAATGCCTTTGCATCTCTGGAAAATTGTTAACCAAAAAGTTATAACAATAAAAAAATATTCATAATCATAAATAACATAAATATTATCATAAATACTACTATCATAAATACTATCATAAATATTATAATAAACAATAACAATTGGTCATAATAATATTGACAAAGATTGAATTTAAAAATCAAATTTTAGCTTTGACATCATTTCTAAACAAAACTTCACTATAAGGATTAATATCTGGTGTGATACCATTCAACGGTTCTTTAGATGCCCATTCAATCATAGTTTCATAAACTTTTCCATCATACCTTCCTAATGCCGAATTTAATAAATAATCAGGTAAGTTAAAAGCATCAACTAATGCAACAGCATTTGGCCTAATTTCATTTAATAATTCGGAAACTTGAATTCTTAACATTTCTGCTTGCTTCGGTGATAAATATTCAGATTCTAAAAAATCCGAAAGATCTTTCTCCATAGTATGTAATGCAAATAAATTACAAACTGAAGTTAAAACTGTTTTTAAACTTGAACTATTATGTAAAATACGTCTTTTTTCATCAATTGAACCTGATGTTTGAGGTTGTAAAGTGAGTATAAAGTTTTGAACCAATATATATTGACAATGAGCACGTGAAATTCGATTGATTTCTACAAGCATTGAATTCCAACTTTTTTTGTGGTTGTCGATTTGATCTACTGCTCGAGCAATTAAATAAGCTGCTCGATGACCATAGATTGCAATTTGGACTTCAGGATTTTTAAAATCAGATGGTGAAGTGACGGTACATTTCTGAGTTGGGTTGTTTAAGTATCGGAGCAAATAAGAGATCGTTGGGTTTGCGTTTGAGCGTAAAGAGAATTCTTCACTTTGTTGTTTGCTGTGAATGATTTCACGATATGTTTTAAAAAGCTATTATTATGATAAGATTAATATTTTTATGTAGCTGAAAATGAATTATATTGATTAATAAAATCTATAAATAATTAAATTTATTTCAGCTTACATAACGCGCGATTTGTTGGGTCAAGATATAATTATCACCTTCCCAAGTAGTATTGGGTAAATAATTTTGATAAAACATTGCAAATCCACTGAAACTTGAATATCCATGACCACCGCATGCTCTTCGACAATCTTCAACAGAATCCACAGCCATTGTAGTGGTTAGTGATTTAAGACCACTGGTGGATGCATGTAAATCTGCGAGCAATGAAAAATCACCGCGTGAACTTTGCTTAGTATATTGCTTAAATAAATTAGAAATCATTTCTCCAGTGAAATAAACAGCGTAGGCTTGCGCAATCACGGGAAATAGTCTGTATTGTTGCATTGTATAGTCTAGAACAGCTGTTTCTACTACTTTGCTATCGATATTCAATTAAACATATATGATTTAGAAAAAAATAAATTGAAGAATAAAAAAACAATATTAATTAAATACTAACCCATTCGACAATATCATTGGATTATCTTTATCAACAAACTGTCTTCTTACAGCAGAATACCGGATAGAAATAGTAGCAGCACGTGCAAGAGCTAACCCTGCACCTGCTATAATAATTGAACGTACATATATCATGGTGCCATATGATAATTTTTCATTTGGTGGATTTACGTATTCACCGGTACCTTTAATGATTTGTGAATATTTGGAAAGCATATTGAATCTTGGAATTCGCACATGATCGAATAGCATGAAACCGTTGTCAGTTGCATTATATCTAAAATTTTTATATATTACTAATATGTACAGTACCAGTAGGGAAATTCGAAAAGCATGAACAGATAAATTTAACAATAATTTACCCAAACTTTGGACCAATATCTCCAATAGTGATTCCCGGCAAAGGTTCATGAGATGTCATATCTCGAATCTGCACAATAAACGGGTGTGGGCCCTTGTCTTGTCCGTTAGTTATCATTTTTGCCATCACAATCGCATGATTACTGATTAAAATAACGTTTATTACATTAAAAAATTGATAAAAAAAATATATTCGTTCTAGCATAAATTTTGAACATACGCGGATCTTCCCAGTCCACCGGCCCACCATTTGGTAGCAGTTAAATGAGGAGAATGTAATTCAAACTCGTCCGTTTCAGGAATATAAGTGGCAGTAGTTTCTAATCCTTGAACGTTTGATCCATGACCTAACTCAGTTTGTGCATAACATCCAATGATTTCGTGTTTCATTGCTGGTTTAAGAAATTTGATTTTTTGTTCTTCGGTTCCCTGACCCATTAAGGTTGGAATGAACATCCTCAGATGAATACCATACTTTATCATTTAATTGAAGAAAAACGATAAAAGGAACGGTGAATAATATTTCATCAAAAATAATAATAATAATAATAATAATAATAATATGCGATTTTTCTACTAAATTCGTATATTTTGATTCATTGTTGATATCTCATGATCTAGTAATCAGATCTTGGTAATTTTGGTATCATTTAAATCTTGTTAAAACTATTCGAATAGTATCAAAAATCATCAAGATTTGATCACTAGATCATAAGATATCAACAATAAATCAAAAATATATGGTATACGAGTTGGGTAGAAAATCGCATAATAATAATAATTTTAATGGAATTTATGAATAATTATGATAATTACAGGTCCATCCATATCAAAAAGCCAAGTAGCTATTTGAAATTCCTCTACACTCCACTTATGAATTCTATATGTTTAAAATAACAACAAATTAATAAACCAAATTCTTTTATCACAAAATAAAGAAATAAAAGCTTACGCAGCCAATTGAACCATTCTTTTATCTTTTCTTAAAGCATATTTAAACAAATCGGTTCTTCCCATATAATAAATATTGCTTTTATCAAGCGTAGGATCGTTCTCCAAAATGGTTAAAACCTTTTTTATTCTAGATAACTCTTCGGATCCTAACAATACCAAAGTTAATTCTTTAACATTAAATGTTGCTTTGGATCTTTCTCTCGCTAATAACTCTGATCCTTGAGGGTCAGAAGGAGTTAGATGCGATGGAATTTTAATGTGAGAAGTCATTTTGTGCTAATTATTTGAGGGTTGATGTATTGGTAAATGTCAATTATATAATGTTTTGAGGGTTGATGAATTAAATTATATATAGATGTTTTGAGGGTTGATGAAGAACCAATATATGAAATAATTTTACATTAATAGAAAGATCTTCTGATAATGCTGTAATGCTGTAATGGAATCCTTTTTCAATTTTATTTAACACTTAGCGATGTGTCATTTTGATTATTGATCTAACTATAAAAAAAACTACATAATGCATAATGATTTATTAATAAGCTTATTTTATATAGATATAATTGAATTTACGTAAGTAATAAATTTTCATTATAAAAAAAACCTTTAATCGTTACGAATATGAAATTTTATATTAATCAGCGAAATTAACATCCATGTACTGTACGTTACAGGAGCGACCGTCGATGTTACACGACTGACTTTTCACCCGGTGTGCAACATATAAAAAAACTATTTTACAAT